AGCAGTTGGCAACCTTTACATTGAGTCCTTAACCTGAAACTATACTCCACTCCCACTGCCCAGCTAAGATAGCCAATCAGAGACAATATTGCATCTTGGGTGGAAGAGATCAAACTACAGTGGGGCCTTGACTTACGAGTTTAATTCGTTCCGAGACCAAGCTCGTTAAGGAGCTTGTTAACTCAAATTACTCTGTCAACTCAATGCAAAAAATCAGCGGAGAGACAGCTGGTATCTCAAAAAACTCGTCAGTCGGGACAGTCTTAAGTCAAGGCCCCACTGTAAATTAAGATACATACAAACAATAAAGCAGTATGAAGATGTTAAGAGAATGAAATGCATACTGACATAAAAAAATGTTTAAAGAGAATTCAGAGCTGAGTTCAAAAAAAATCTTTATTTGATCTTCTTTAGTTCATATTTCCTTTAATTAATCTAAAAATCACATTCTTTTTATTTAAAAAATGTTTATTGGGTACTTTTGTTGGCCAGGCATCTTCCTATGTTCTCTAGATCACATTATTTCATAGTACTTGCCCCAAAGAACTAGAGGCTTCAGACCTAAGTCAAACAACAAAGTAAAGTCAGTATCTAGAATATTTGAATAAGAAACCTGTTAAGTCAAACAAAAATTACATTTTTAGTGAATCCTTAACTTTCTCAATATGAATATTGGACAGATTTCTTTCTTTAAGGTTTGAAAACTTTTTACCATAATTAGGACCTAGTTTGATTTCCTTAAAGCTTTCTTCACTTCTAGTATAATTGAGATGCCTATACTTAATTAATTAAATGTCACAACTCCGATATAATTATTTCATGAATAATTGTATTAGCTGTCATTTGTTTTAATCACCATGCCACTTTGTATCGCCATTGATGACTATCTTAAAATATTGATGAGGATAAAATATTTTAATATTCAAATTAGTACCTCATGACAAAATATTATCTAACTATTTTTTTCTTATAATTATGTTTTCCTTTTTATTACATAGAGTACAGAACAGTTTGGGAATGTTTTCCTGACTTCCTATTATACCTGCTGTTAGCTGAAAGCAAAAAGGACATCTTTTTCAAATTATTTAATAATTTCCAATATACTCAGATTTGAAAATGTATAGCCTTTAGAATGTTTGAAAACCATTCAGGGGCTTTATAGTAAAAATGTACCATTTTAATTTTTATTAAAACTAGAGGCCCAATGCACAAAATTCATGCAAGAGTAGGCCTTCCTTCCTCCGGCTGCTGGCACTGGCTTCCCTCTGGCACCCAGGCTTCCCTCTGGCCGCCAGCAGGCACCAAGGACCTGGGCTTCCCTTGCAGCCCCGGCTTCATCCGGAAGGTCATCTGGTCTAATTAGCATATTATGCTTTTATTATTATAGATAGAATATTAAACATTGTAGATGATCTGAGGAGGATAGAGGAAATATATCTAAAACTTTAATTCTTTCATTTGTAAATTATATGCATATGTCTATGTGTTTATATAACGTTTAAAACAGAATACATAAATTAGAAATACTGAAATAAAGTATTAGAAATACTGAAATAAAGTATTAGAAATAAATTAAAAAATTACAAACATTTTGGGATAAAACAGATGCACTCAGACATCCTATGGCAAGTGTGTAATTTTGGAAGCAAACTGTTTCTTATTCCAATGTTACTTGCCTGGTTAGCTCAGATGATTGGACCATAGGACAGAACTGATGAAGGTTATAGTTTCAATTTGTAGGTAGGTCAGTTAGCTTTACACTGTTCCACGGTCACATGGAGGGGCTAAATGACTTAGAAAGGAAATGTGGGTGCAGTACTGTGAATCCATCCCCTCTGCTGGGAAAACCACCCACAGCTCCAGTGCTAGGTTTGTGCCAATCCCAAAGTCATTAGTGTCAGGATGAAAAAAAAAAGAAAAGAAAAGAAAAGAAAAAGAAAAACCAGAGAGGAAATCCTGACCCTCACAATACAAAAATTTAATGCTATGTAGCTCTCATTTCCATAATATAATATAATGACCTGCCTTTTCTTTTTATAGTTATAGTTGAGGGGCTCCAGCTGATCACCTGCCTGAAATTACTGCAGGCCTGGTGGGAAGCATTTGAGGAAGCATAGTCATGTTTTCATTTCACTAGGAAATCATTTAGCAAATTACTGCTGTTCTGTAAATTACTGTGCTGCATGACTTTCATACTGAGAAACTATTTCCTTTTTCTATAAAAATTGCAGACAAAAGATTACCACAATAAATAATCTGTATTTAAAATAAACCAATTTCTAGAATTTAGAGAATGTGACACATCGTTTCTCATATGGGAATATAAACAAATACATTTTTATTACTAATATTAAAAATATATCCTCTGTTAAAGTCAGATTTTCACTTATTTTGGTTGTTACCCTTTGAGCTGATAGATAAAAGCTTCTGAGGGTAAAATAACAAGCCAAGTACTTATTTTTAAAGGAAAATAGTTAATTTTGGAAATCATAGTACTTTAAGCCTAAGTTTTATCTTTAAGAGAACCTCACAGTCAGTAATCAACCTACATAGAACATGATATTGAGAGCACTTTTTATTGTGTCAAGTCCTGTGTAGATGTGAGTCTGAAGGGAAGTAGCTCAGTAATTTTAATTTTGCGATGAAGTGATAGGCTCTAATATAACCTAGGGAAATAGCCTCACAACCATTCTAAGAGGATCACATTCTAAACAAGGTGATCATTGCTGAAGTGACAGAAAGCTCACACCAGGCCTCGCTCCTCTGGTCTTTTCCAGAGACACTCGGATCAGGAACTCAGACCTGGCTCATCCACTTCAGTGGCAATAAGGATAGACAAGCAGAGGCAGGGCGACATCTCTTCCTCAGAGAATGAGGTCCCACTTTCAGACCTGCTGTTTCACACACACAAAAAGGGGGCTTGGAAACAACAGTGAAACAGTCTCATAAAGACTAAGTAGATTTTCCCAAACTTAAAGGTTGTTAAGACTAATAAAGAAAAAATGCTTCATGGTAGCTAAAATTTTAAAATAATTATAATAGGTGCTTATTGAAATTAAAGCTCCTTATACCTAGAACCAGCTATAACATCACTAGATTTAAATATCTGATAATTGAATCTGTAATTAAAGTTGTGGCAAACCTGGAGAAAATTCAGAAAATGACACAAATTTGTTTCATTGTTGCAAATAAAACCTTAGAGGAAAAAGTTGAAAGGACTGTTACGATTCATTTTGAAGATGAGGATAGTTAAGAAATGATTTTTATTATTTTTTTCAGACTTTATCAATCTGTGTTCCTCATCTAAACTACAGAATACTGAAAATAATTTAAGTGACTTTTCAATTCCTCCATGGATCAGACATAACTAGCATTATTCTAGATACATTGAAGAGAAGTTTACCCATTACATATAAGGCTGCCTTAGGGCACCAGGGCTCAATTCTCTCTCATAATGGAGGTTGATAACAAGTGGATACACAGTGAACCATAAATTAATGTCAGCAAGATATCTATAGCCTAAAAAATGCATTTATAAAGCAGATGTGTAGACTAAAATACAGGGTGAATTTCTTAAAGATAAATTACTTAGCATTATATGAGTCTATTGAGGAAAATTACACAATATCCTTCTCCCAAAGATTTTGAAGGTGGGATTTACAGTTCTTCTGGCAAGAATGGGAGAAGTATGCAGCATCTGAAGGCAGAGGTCTTGAAAAGTGTGCTTCGTTCTTCCACTTTGGGCTATTCAAAAGTCCACAATGGGGGAGCCCTGAGGTTAGAAGGGGGAAGAACAGAACATGCTGTGGGCTAAGAGCATCGCCTCTGTGAGGAACTCACTGTAATAATGCAGAGAAATACCCACTCACTGGTGTCAAGAAAGGGAAAGAAACAGTCCTCACAGTAACAGAAAGAATGCTGATGCTGAAGAACTCTTGAGAAAAAATAAATCTTTATAGGACTACATAGGTTCTTTAGAAATACCTTTTGTTACATCTCTAATATTAATTTTTTCCTAACATATAATTCCAGTTGAATCTAGAATACAGATTTGATGACACATTACCAATATGAACATAAACAATTGTTATTCAGAACTACAAAAATATAGAAGACAAGCTAAATAAAGCAGACTCGATGGTGGTAGCTTACTACCTAAAGCAACATGATTTCTATGTCTATTTTTTTATGAGTGCACACATAGGAAAATCCTGAATACTCTGTTCTTTTATTAGTATATATTTTTAAATTACATTCAATATTATTTTGTACAAGTTTCAGGTGTACATCATAGTGGTTAGATAATCATATACTATACAAAGTTTCCCCCTGATATTTCCAGTACCCATCTTGCAGCATACATAGCTATCATATCATTGACTATATTTTCTATGCTGTATTTTACATCCCCATAAATATTTTTGAATACTGTATGTTTTATGAGTTAAATTCTAAGTAACTGAAGTCCCACTTTGTTGTCCATAGTGATCTTTTATTCATTAATCCGCATTATCATGATTCAAAATTGCTCACGAAGATCACTATTAATGTGAACTCTACATTTAAACTTTACAAATGACTTTTTCTAATGTTACTTTAAGGAGTATTTGGACAAGGAATCAGTCACACTGTGGATACAATCTGCTTTCTTTGGCAACATTAATGTAAAATGCGAGTCCATATTGATCTTTGCTTATGCAGGCAGTTCACAAGAATTCCATGACATTGCAGGAGAGTAACAGTGGTTTGCTCACTTTGTCTTCTAAGAAGGCAGTGGTTTGAATATTTGAGTGTAAATACCTTTTTTATAATAAACAAATATATCATTTACTTACAGAAGTACCCATTGTAATGAAGTCCAGGTTGGAACAGTTAAAATAGCTCAAAGATGAATAAGTACATGAATAAAACTTTTCTTAGATCTGCATAACTGCTGCCCTCTTTTCCATTTACAGCTATTCAAGAGCAAGAAAATGAATCTGTGCCCCGATCCTTAAGCCCAGACATCTCCTTAAATAAGTCACAGCTAGATGACTGTCCAAGGGACTCTGGTTGTTACATCTCATCGGAAAATTCTGATAATAGCAAAGAAGACCTGGAGTCTGAAAATCTGCCTAACATGGTACAGAAGATGACTATCGCAGAAACAAGTGACTGAACACATTCTCAACTCTATACCCACGTCTGCATCCCGTGTAACTTCCAGAGCTAAAAGGTCAAATAGGAAAGAAAGAGAAGTATTTGAAGATAACAATCTAAAGTTAAGATGTTTTATTCTGAATTATTTTACATAAAAGTTTATATCTCTAACATTTCCAATTACTGTAAATAATATGTATATTTATTATTTTAAATGCTACATGTTAGTATTTCACATGAGTGTATTAGAAAAGGTATAATATAAGTCTTTAGTATGTGTGACATAAGCTTTATTTTGCAAGTGCAAAATGATAAATTCTGCAAAATCCCCTCATTTCTACATACCTGCCAGTTTTGAATTTGTGTCTATTACTCCAGCAGTGGAGCCTGTGTCTGTTTAACCAGTTATCCAAGCAGTATTTACACTCATGTTTATACCTACTAGAAAGTACAAGTTAATATTGGAGACATTTGATCCACAATGTTTTCATTGTTTTTTGTTGGTTTCTTCACTGTTACTGGTATAAAAGTATAGACAATATACTGTTAGTTCTGATTTAGTGAAATAAATTGTAATAATTGCACAGATGTTTCACCTTTAAGTGTAAATACTTTAAATTTTGAAATGCCCTAATTTTAAAAATAAAATGAACTATGTGCATTTGGTATTTTCCAGATTAGTGTTACTTTCATATTAGGCATTTTCATATTAGACATTCAGACAAAATATCTCCTACCAGACAAGGTTTTACAATCAGTCCTCACTATATATATCCTATGTAATAAAAGCTTAATATGCTAAATGTCCGGTCATCCAGTCATCTGTTCAACCAATCAAAGCGTAATATACTAATGATATGCTAAGGCAGCTCTGCCGCTAGCTATGATGTACATTGACCACTAGGGGGAAGACGCTCGGACCAGTAGGTTAGCTTGCTGCTGGGGTCTGGCCAATCGGGACTGAATGAGATGGGCCGGACATGCCCTAGAGCCCTCCCGCAGTCCCTCCCCTGATGGGCCAACTTCTCACATCCCTCCCTGGCCCTGATTGTGCACTAGTGGGATCCCTCAGCCTGGTCTGCGCCCCTTCACAATCCAGAACCCCTTGGGGGATGTGAGAGAGCTGGTTTTGGCCAGATCCCTCAGGCCAGGCTGAGGGACCCCATTGGTGCACGAATTCATGCACTCAGCCTCTAGTATATATAATTCCCAAATCAATTACCTCACTCTGTCTCCTGAGCACCAGATCTGTGTTATCTAACTTCCTGAATACTTCTATGTATTAGTCAGCTTAAGTTGCCATAACAAAATACCATAAACTAGATGGCTTAAACAATAGAAATTTATTTCCTCACAGTTCTAGAGGTTAGAAGTCCAAGACCATGTGGCCAGCATGGTTGGGTTCTGGTGAGAGCTCTCTTCCTGGCTTGCAAAGAGCTACCTTCTTACTGTGTTCTCACATGGCAGAAAGATAGAAAGCTTTCTGGTGTTTCTTCTTATAAGGACACTAATCCCATCACGAGGTCCGCACCTTCATAACAATTATGGCCCAAAGGCCCCATCTCCAAATACCATATATTGGGAGTTAGAGCCTCACATATAAATTGGAAGGGTGGCAGGGCATAGTTTAGTTCATAGTACTCTAGGAAGCTTTGACTCAACATACCCAAATCCTTGCTTTTGTCTACAAATTTGTCTCTTCATTTTTACTCCCAACCTACCTCTCTTTAATAGTACCAACATTCAGCCAGTTATGCAAAGAAGAAAATAATTTCTCACTTCAGTTCACATATATCCTCTTCATGTAGATTCAATAAGTAATCAAGCCTTATGAGTCCTACCTGTAGAAATCCTTTTGTATTTATGGTTTTCTATCCGTTCCCATGGTTGCAGTCTTGCTTTATAACCTCGGGATTTCATGTGTAAAATAGTGCAGTAGCTTTCCAACTGATCTGTTCCACAAGTGTCCTCCTTCTTAACCCGTCCTCCACAGAGCCTCTAGAAAGTTTTAAATGTTTAAAAGTATAACATTTAAACTTTCTTCCAGGATACATAAGACCCTCCCCAACCATTTTTTACCCACACCTATGAGTCATATATTTCTTCCCACACCTCTCACTTTACACTATCCAGCCATAAAAATCTACTTGCAATTCCCTAAATTCATGTGGGAACCTTGCCAGGGTCCCCGAATACTCAAGGCCAATGGGAGCACAGAGGCCTTGCTGTCAATACTCCAGAATGGCCAAGGGCACTCTGAGTATGAGCCTAATTGGGATTCCCAAGGCCAAAATACCATGAACAGCTGCAAAGCCACAGCGATCCCGGGGTACACTGTGCCCTTCTGTAACCCATAAGATTGATGTCACTGTTGGCAACTAGCCTTCTTTGTCTCTGGAGTAATATACAGGTTACTGGCCAGGAGTCTAAGAGAGAGAACAGCTGAGTAGAGGCTAGAGAGAGCTCAGAAAAGCAGAAGCGGTAGGCACAGAGGATGTAGCTCCTATGTGTGCAGGAGAGGCTAGAGAGATCAGACAGAGCTGAGAGCTGGTACTGCTACAATGCAATGCTAAGAGCTCATAGAGAGCTCAGATATAGTCACCATGTTAACCAGCCAGTGTGCTGGATAGGAGAGAGCAGCTGGGCAGCAGAAGCTGCTGAGCCAGAGAGCTGAGATACCATTACGATGTGAGGCAATGAGTTTAGGGGCAGCGTGTGGCTGCTCAGATAATAGCTGTGAGTACAGACAATAATGCTGCTTTTATGGGAAAGATGTATTTACCAGCCAGTGTCCGGCTGCTTGCCTGTATGGATTTTGCTATAAGGACTGTTTTTGTCTGATGGCTGTGTGGACACTGGCTTCTGCAATAAAGACTCATTCTTATACACCCACAACTTCTCATAGCTTCTCCATCTAAGACCCAGCATCCTAGGAGGTCCAGTCCCAGGCAGAGGGGCTCGGACTCAACACCTGTTACTAGTGAGCAGAGGATAAAGGAGGAATTTGGACTAAGTTCCCAACAGTTAGTACAGTGGACAGGGTTCCAGAAGTCACCTGTCCTGTGCTTGGCATAGTCACATGAGAGAATGTAGAAGCATATATTGACTCAAAGCCACTCAGAGCAGCAGAGCTGTGCAGTGCTCTTGCTGTCCCTGACAATTTATGATTCCCTTTGTGACTTTTTTTACATTATTTATTTTTTCTGGAAGGGTTCCTGCTATTTTTTACATCCAGAAGCCTCCCTCTGTTTCCCATATTAAGACTCACAGAAGTTATTCTGTGAATCCCCTTCTAGGATTTCCTTTGGTGTTCTCCTCTTCATCTGTCCAGAGCAACCTGTATCTCTGTTGATTATAGCACTTATATATTATACTTTATCTATTTGTATAACACTTCCCCTTCCATGAGACTGTGACTTTAATTGTGGAAGAGCCTCCTTAATCCCTGAAGCCTGGGTACAGAGTGAGCATTTAAAACGTTTGCTGTTGCCCTGACCGGTTTGGCTCAGTGGATAGAGTGTCGGCCTGCAGACTGAAGGGTCCTGGGTTCAATTCCAGTCAAGGGTATGTATCTTGGTTGCGGGCACATCCCCAGTAGGGAATGTGCAGGAGACAGCTGGTTGATGTTTCTCTCTCATCGTTGTTTCTAACTCTCTATTCTTCCCCCTTCTTCTCTGTAAAAAGTCAATAAAATATATTAAAAAAATAAATAAAACGTTTGCTGTAGTACCTTGAATATAGCAATGATTCCCATATAACACATTCCCTATCTATAGTTAAATCAACTTACTCAACCTATAGGTAGATACTTTCCAAAGTGACATAAAAAGTTTTTTAAATAAATAAATCATAAGGCCTTAGAAAAAAATTAGGAAACACAAAGTGGTATTTCAATGCTGGGGCACAACATTACACTGTTCCTCTTTAAAGTATTTTCCAGGTCCATGAGATTTAGTCTCGTATGCAGTGCCCAGGTCACAAGTGAAGCACATGCCTACCTCCCTCTCCACAGCAGGAAATAGTGTTTCAATTTCAAACTTCCAACATGCTGCCTTCATCATCCTCCCACTCCTACAATGGCTACTACTCCAAATAGATTATTCTAAGGACTTACTGGACATACCACAGCCACTGACCATAATTTTCTTTTAATTTTTAAATTTCTTTATTGATTAAGGTATTACATATGTGTCCTTATCCCCACATTACCCCACATATCCCCCACTCATGCCCTCACCCCCCCTGTTGTCTGTGTCCATTGGTTAAGCCTATACCCGTGCATTTAAGACCTTTGGTTGATCTCTCCCTCTTACCCCCAACCTCCCCTACCTTCCCTCTGAGGTTTGACGGTCTGATTGATGTTTCTCTGTCTCTGGATCTGTTTTTGTTCATCAGTTTATGTTGTTCATTATATTCCATAAATGAGTGAGATCACATGGTATTTATCTTTCTCTGACTGTGTTATTTCACTTAGCATAATGCTCTCCAGTTCCATCCATGCTGTGCAAAATGGTGAGAACTTGTTTTTTACCGCAGCATAGTATTCCATTGTGTAGATGTACCACAGTTTTTTAATCCACTCATCTACTGATGGGCATTTAGGCTGTTTCCAAATCTTAGCTATGATGAATTGTGCTGCTATGAACATAGGGGTGCATATATCCTTTCTAATTGGTGTTTCAACAAGAAAGCTATCATCGACAAATCAACAAAGGACAAGTACTGGTGAAGTTCAGGAGAAAAATGAACCCTCATGCACTGCTGGTGGGAATGCAAACTGGTGCAGCCACTGTGGAGAACAGTCTGAAGTTCCCTCAAAAAACTAAAAATGGAACTCCCATTTGACCCAATGATCCCACTTCTAGGAATATATCCCAAGAAACTAGAAACACCAATCAGAAAGAATATATGACCATAATTTTTACACTTTACTCAATTAGCTGCTTCAGGGAGGTCAACAGAGTACAATTTATTTATGAAGATGCCAGGAAACTGTAGGTTGAAAAGCATCTAAAGAATTGCTTGATTATCAAATGGTGGAAATCTCCTGTGACACACAGTCACAACTTCAGTCTCTTCAAAAGGAGGATCCAGTTCACAGCCAAGGATCCGGGCAAATGCTTTTGAGCAGAAGTAGTGCGGAGTCCTTGAGGAGATGAAGCAAAAGAAGTGAGAACAGATTCCTGAAAAGAGGAAGGGAGGGAGGAAAGTGGAGACACAATGAGGTTAAAGTTGGCGGAAACATGGCCACATCACAGAACACAACACTGACAAGGACACATGTGGAGCCAAAGTGTATCACATCCAGGAGCGCTGCTGCCTTCATTGTACCTACTGGTTCCCTGCAGCTCTAGCTTCACCTTCCTTAGGTTTTTCTCTTGCCCCTGGTGGGCTGGATAATGAGGAGTGGGAAGGTAGAAACTAGTTCAGCCAAGGTTGTAAAATAGTTGAGAGCCTTAGACCTTCTACTGCTCTTGGCTGAGAGAGAGGCATGAGCCTGATCCTTTTAAGAGTGAATGTGAAGGTGGCCAGAGGGTTGAGACTTTAATGTTTAGAGATACTTACACTGACTTTTTGTTTATAGGTTAAAACCTGGTGAGTGTCCTAGTCTTATTTGTTTATTTATTCACTCAACAATAGTTAGGCATGGAAAATAAATGC